AGATATAGGGCTTTCAATCAAACATTTACTGTAAATACACTTTTACAGGTAATTTGCATGACTGCAGCAGTATGGGGCAGACCGATAGCAGCTACCTGGAGTCAGCTTGTTGCTGCGGGTCAGCTCTGTACCACTGTAGTCCTATGGCAGGCCGTAGTATGTCATTTACAAACACTTCTACCTTTGAATATAAATTTGTTGAACATAAATTTTGGATTGGATTATTACCAATCCATACATGAATGACCTGCCACCATTAGTGAAATTGAATGCTATTAGTGTTTCCAGTAGTACTGATCTGCATGTTAATGAATTATGTTAATTTAATTATAACTTTGGGTGTATTTAGATATGTTATTTTGACTAGGATGAGTGATATTAATACCACTTTAAATTTCACTGAAACATCAGTGAAAATAATCCCATAAAATATTAACTATAAATAGATAGGAAACGGGAAACTACACATCAGCGATTTAATATGTAATATTAGTTTTAAAATAAGAGATATTTCAGCCTCATAATGTGGTTGCTTTGTTTCATACTTTTTGTAGGAGATCACATTTCTTTTGGACATCTTTGTCAGAAGGGTGGCTCCATGTTCATCTGAGCTGCTGAGCTGAGTGCCATGATATTAACATGATTGTCAGAGACATGTGGTATTTTTCAATGGCAGAAGATGGTGGCTTCCAGAAAATTATTTTTGCCTTCAGTCTCAGATACACACTTCCTTCTAGGACAGGGGTTCCCAATCCTGGTCCAGAAAGGCCTTTATCCATCATGTTTTAGTTGCTGACCTGCTCCATAACACCGGAATCAGTGCCTGGAGTCACTCTTCAGCAGCTTATCAAGTTCTGCAGAAACCTATAAATTACCTGATTAAAATAAGGTGTGTTAGAGCAGTGATGCTGTCACTGCAGGATTGGGTACCCCTGTTTTAGGACATTGAAGTTGTTTCACTGATGAGTTTTAACACAATTTGTTGTAGTTCAATAAAAGGTGGCTTTTTCCTGAAAGGGAATGAGTGGATTTTGAAATTCTAACTTGTTAAAATGTCCCCCACTTGTAGGGTTGTCAAATAAATTTGATTTATCGACAGAAAATTTGATAGAATTTTTAAATACTAAAATATTTGATAGCTGCAGATCTTTTAACACCATAAGTGAATAAAAATTATTAGAAACAAAAAACAGGACCTAGAAGTATAACAATATGGAAGAAATTACTATCTCTTTTTTTAGACATTGAATTTATGAAAAAAAATGTATTCAGTGAAATTATGTATTAGAATTTTTTTTTTACTTAAATTACACCAACAACTTTTCATCCTTAAAAATTCTACTGCAGAATTTTACCTTAAAAACTTTAACTGAATTTCAACGTAAAAATTTCAGCAGCAAAAATGTTACATCAGAAATGTAACAGCAACCAAGCTGACCTCCTCGTGACCCAAGCAAAGTAATTGTTACTCAATCCAGTCGGGTGGATTTTAGCAAATCAAATTATGCTTCTCTGATCACATGACTCCAGTGACGATAGGGAGCCTAAGTCACGCCCACTTACTTCCAAACCACCGGTCTCTGACAATAAGAAAAAATGAGTGCAAGTGAATGGGGCTATGAAAGCTATTTTTTTATCCTGTTTGATATGTGCCATGGAGTTTACGTGTGATGTTGGTGAATTTTAAAGACACAGTCTAATACCAACAGAGTGTTTATTTCAGCAAAGGTTATTTTAGGTTCTGTGTGAAAAGCCATAAAGAACTACAAATGCATCTCACCATGCTGATGTCATAGAGGCCGATATGAAGACAAAAGTTGCTTCAAGTTTTGTGAGCATTGAATTTTTCTTTCAGGATGACAGAAGGAGCAATTAAACCTGGGAGAAACCAAGGTAAACAAATCTGGCCATATGGTAAGTATGTGAGATTATGCGGTGACATATATGCAATGTCTGATTTGTAGTAATTTTATTTACAAATTTTTACAAGCTAACAAATCTCAAAGTATGTGACAGACATGATCAAAACTCAAGTTTATTTTCCTTTAAATTGTAGTCCGATCTCTACCGATCTGTTTTCTGGGGTACCCCAAAGCTCTGTTTTGGGTCCACTGTAGTTTCTACTGTACATACACCCTTTTGAACAGATAATTGATCCTTTTCATAATGTATCTTATCACCTATATGCAGATGACACTCAGCTGTACTGCTCCTTTAAGGATTCTGAGTTCTATAAACTGTCTGAATTACTAGAGTCTATCAGCTTTCTCCAGCTGGCTAGAAGATAACTTACTTCAGTCAAACTCTGAAAAGACTGAATATCTGACCATTGCCCCTGAGAGCATGGTTCCCCTGATTAGTCAAAAACTTGGTCATTTATATTCTGCTGTCAAGACAAACTAATTTGGGTGTTGTTTTTGACCAATCAATCAATGTCTCCTGAAGGCCACTCAAAAATACTGATCCGAAACAGTTATCACTTAAGAAATATCTCCAAACTGTGAAAGTTGGTGTCAAAACATGAACTCGAAATGGTTATCCGTGCCTTTATTTCCTCCTGTCTAGATTACTGTAACACACTCTTCACATGCTTTAACAAAAAGGCCCTTGACCGCCTTCAGTTGGTCCAGAACTCTGCAGCGAGGCTCCTAACTGGAGCAAACAGAAAAGCACACATCACTCCTATTCTAATGTCTCTGCACTGGTTAACCGTTAACTTTAGAGTTCATTTTAGGATCCTGACTATAACTTTCAGTGCTCTACATGGTCAAGCTCCTCCCTATATTACTGAACTGTTAAAGCCTTATGCTCCAACCCGAGCCCTCAGGTACATAAATCAGAACCTTCTAGAAGTTCCAAAGACCAGATGCAAAAGTCGAGGTGACTGCTCCTTCCAGACTGCTGCACCCCGACTCTGGAATGATCTTCCTTTATCCTTTTGTAGCATTGACAGTCTGGACAGTTTTAAAAAACAGCTAAAGACCCTTTTATTTAAAGCTGCTTTTACCAAAATCTTTTATTTTCTTATTTCTAAGTCAAATTTGTAATCTTTCATCTGTTTTACTTTATTTTTTCGGATGTTAATCGATTTCTGTTTTGAGATCATTATGTTTTATTTTGTTTTGATCTATGTGAAGCACTTTGTGATTTTATGTCTGTGATAAGTGCTACATAAATAACATTTTTTACTACTTACTCCAACATATGTGCGATTCAGGGTGTAAGGCAAAGGGGTTTGGAAAATAGCTCCATTCACTTGCGCCAAACCATGGGCCGACCAGAAGGGGAGGAGACTAGGCTCCCTATTTTCGTGACTTGGGTCACCAGGAGGTCACCTCATTTGTTGTTGAATTTCTGTGGCAGAAATTCTGTCATAAATTCAATGTCTGAAAAAAACCATTTTCTGGCAAGACTGTATTTCTTCCATACAATAATCTTTTTAATTCAGAAAACATGAGGAATTAGTAGCTGACATGATGAAAAGCAGCCGTTTAAGAGAAACATATGTAAAAATTATTTTTATTTCTATCATTATTCACATCAAGACACCTTTCCAAAACATTTAGACTCAAGTGTTCCTGAAAGTCATGCTGAAAAGGCGAAGGCTCCAAAGTCACCCTGGATTCCCAAACATGTAGGATGTGTTGATCCCTGGTGAGTGTAGCCGCTGTGATCACAGCAAGGATGAGTTCACGAGTGACCAAATTTTAATCTATAGGATCTGGGAGCTGCAATTTTTTTATTTATTTATTATGATTCACAGATTCAAAAACTGTATTTAGTCAGTCACACATTAGTTTTTTTCCTCAGAAAATCAATTAAGTCCACAAGCACACCTCCTTAAAGAAGAATAACACAAAATCACAATTATGCAAAGGAAACAGAAGCAAAAGGATGGTGAGGAACTGAGTAATGCACACCCACACCTTCAGCAATGCTGTGTTTCAGCAAAAACACCCACAACTACAGCCGAGTGGACCCACATGAACCAAATAAAGCTCCAGGTGCTGAACATGAGCTGCAGCGTGGCTCGCAGATGAACACTGCTGATTTACCAGAGCTAGTTTGGGTTGCTGAAAGTGAGCCAAGGATCATTTAGACAAACTTTATTAATGTAAATACCCGACTGTTTGATGCAACCATGAATATTCAAAGAGAATACGCCAAATCATCCAGTTTTCTTTTATGCATTTTTTGAATGCATTTGCTTTTATTTGTATAGTAATTTTTATTGGAATGAAAACTTTCAAAAAAAGATAAGCTGTAAAATAATCCAAATACACACACACACACACACACACACACACACACACACACACAAAATGTATTAAAAAAAAGAACCCTGACAGAACTTTTATAGCCATGTTCATCATTTTGAAGGATAGTCGGAAAGAATTTCTGGATCTAAAAATAAAATTTGGGGAGAAAGAGCCGGAATAGAAGGAGAGAAATGTACAAATCAGAGGAGTTGTCCCAACACAGGGAGACGGAGACAGAGCAGATAAACTAAATTCCTACATTTTCCGTTAGAACCACTTTATAGAAACTAATGATCTGTTGCTTGCAATGATCCTTATTATGACCTTCTGAACTCCAGTGATTGTTCCCTGATCTTTGACTTCATTAAAACTCTAAAGTGGGCCTACACTTGTCATTAAAAAAATAAATAAGTGATTTTCCCTGGGGGGGGGGGGGAAGCTCTGCCGCTCCCATTTCAGGAAGTAGAAGTTACTCAGCGGGATGGGGGCGAAAAACTGCAGGATTAACAGATCTGTGTTGCTTTTCCTAACCCAAGCCTTTCCCTGTCTTTTTCCTACTGATAGCTAATAGAGGTAGAAAACTTTTTTTACGTTCATGACTCATGTAAAACTCAGAGTGACCAATCGTATTTTAAAAATAAACAAGTGTTTCTTGATCTTGTTTCTCTCTCTAGGGTAAGTAAAATATTCCTTTATAACATGTCCCATCAGAGGTACGGTTCTGGTCTGCTGATGACTTACATTGTTGGGGGACACCGTGAGAACGCTCCTGCTCTTCCTCATCTTTCCTCGACTTCCCCCCCGTGCTGTTTGGCCACAACCGCTTCACATGCAATCCTGTAAACAATAAGAGGAAAAATGTTTTTCTTGGCGATTTATTTCTCCTTAAAAATGTTGATAGCAAGATTTTTGGATCATCAATAGGAGCCAAGGTGATGTTATTCCCAGAATGTAGTCGTTATTCAAAAGTCATATTTGAACACAGTTAACAGTTACTATAATTTAAACTTAAACTAGTTCTGAATAAAGAAGCTGCTTCTCGTAAATCAAAGCAGTTTTTTCTTTATTCAAAGGCTTTTATTTAAACATCAAAAATACAGTAAAGCTGCTTTAAATATGATTTATTCAACAGGCACATACCGCACAAGAACAAATCAGAATGATGCACTGGTGTGTGATAAAAAGACCACATGAAAAGCACCAAGGAAAGATGAATGGTGTTAGCAGATATGAATAAGATAATGGTTGAATTTTATGACTTTTCCTCTTTGCCTCTTTTATCTTTGCAGCGCCAGTAAAAGATTGTTTATGCTAAACTTTGCTTTGTTATCTGTGATGATGGCGCAGCATTCTGGGAGCTGTTAGTTTTACACAAACATTGTTTAGCTGTGGAAAATGTTCCGTAATAAATTGTAACTTTTTATGAACACTCAGTCTTTCTAGACAGAAACAGACATCCAAACAAAAAACTGGTCAGTAAGTATGTACATTAATTAGATTTACTGACATGAAAAGGAAAATACATAAGGTCATACATTTTGAGTGATATGAGAGTGAGCGAAAGAGGTGAAAGGTCACATTACCTCTCAGCTCTCATTTGTAATGTGGGTCACTGCAGATGCTGTGCATCATTTATGAAAATGTCAGAAAACATACAAAAGAAATTTCACCAAAGATAAGACCTTGTTATTAAACACAGGTGTGATGTGCTCATATCAGTTCTAAATGAAACAAATATGGATTAGGTTGTGCTGCATGATGGTGCAGTTGGCACTGTTGCTCAGCAACGTGAAGCTCATGGAGTGAAATCCAGACTTCAGCCTTTCTCTGTGGAATTAGAATATTCAATACAGGCATGGGTTTTCTCCTACAGGTCAACGGGTATGAATAAGATGGACAGCTGATTACAATTTCTGTCTATCAATAGACATGTGGTGCAATAGAAAAAAAATAGTTCAATAACAACTTCAATAAAAAGTTTCCATTTTTCATTATCGCCTATCGGATAGCTTAATGCTTGAGTCATTACTGACTCCTAACCAATCAAAAACACAGACCCAGACATGCTCCGTCATCAAGCCCTCGCCTCTAAAACCTCAACAGACAGCATGTGACTTAAATAGCATGTCACAGCAAAACGAGGCTAAGGAAATTGTCCTGTTACAATAGTTCACCAGCATGTCAAAGTCTGATAAAAACAAATGATGGCCATTTGCTTAATTAGCAGAGAATCAATAGAAACAAAGTCTGGAAACACAACCGACTTGTTGCGGGACTCAATTAAAAATTGTAATCTAATTAATCAAAGGCTTTGTGGTTAATTAATCTTTATTATTACATTTTTATCATTAGTGAGGCTCAGATAACATACCCAGGGTATGTAACCACAAGGTATTTGATTACTTTGGTCTCATTATAAAGGTAACCATTGGGTCAATTGTTGGGATATGTATATAATAATACACGTGTTATTGATGAAGTGTAAATGAACATGGAACATTGTAAATGTGTACTGAACTCAACTCAGTTCAACTTTATTTATAAATTGCGCCTTACAGGCAAAAAGATGCCACCAAGGCGCTACACTGATCAAATAAAAACATAAAATATTAAGTCCAGAAAATAAAACATTGTATCACACGATATACGTAAAAATACAATGAGTAAAATCGCTATAAGTAAAACAATAAAACTAGTTAGAAAGGTTAAAAGACAGGTCATAAAAATATGTTTTTAGCCTTGCCTTAAAAACCGCAACAGAGGTGGAGGCCCTTATGCTCAGAGGAAGCTTATTCCAAAGCTTAGGACCTGCCACAGCAAAGGCCCTATCACCACGCGTCTTTAGACGTGTTCTTGGGACCGAGAGGAGCATGAGGTTCTCCGAGCGGAGTGACCGTGAAGGGGTGTATGGTTGAAGTAGTGACACCAAGTAAGGAGGGGCCAAACCATTTAACGTTTTAAAAACTAGTAAAAGTATTTTTAAATGAATCCTAACATTAACGGGCAACCAGTGAAGCGCAGCCAGGACAGGAGTAATGTGGTCAAACTTGCGCCTGCCCTCTAAAAATCTGGCAGCAGCATTCTGGACCATTTGCAACCTGGCTATTGAGCCCTTGCTCACACCGAATAGAACAGAGTTGCAGTAGTCCAATCGCACCGTAATAAAAGCATGGACTACCGTCTCAAGATCATGACGTGTCAAAAACGGTTTGATCTTTGCCAGCCGACGAAGGTGGAAAAAGGAGGAGATCACTCCATTGATGTGTGTATCAAAATTAAGGGCACTGTCCAGTTTAACACCAAGATTAGTCACCGATGTAGTCAGCTGGCCATTAAATGACCCACAGTCAGTTAGGGAAGAGTCACAATGTGTGCTTGGAGCAAACAATATAGCCTCTGTTTTCTGATCATTTAGGCTCAGAAAATTTCCAGTCATCCAGGTCTTGATCTCCCTCGAACAGTTTGTAAGAGTAGAAATAGAGAGACCACTTGACGTGTTCAGAGGCAGGTACAGCTGACAATCGTCAGCATAAAGATGGAATTGAACTCCAAGCTCACGACAGATGTCACCTAAGGGCAGAATATAAATAGAACACAACCACCCTGAACACAGGGTGGCAGCAGAGCACTGCTAATATACATAGAGGTATAGTGTAGAGTTCAAGGGAAGTTCTGATGAGAGTTACAAGAATGATGCATGTATGCTTGTCCCTCCTGCTGTAATAAAATTTATATGGATAAGGTTACTGTCTGTCTACTTTATACAAACTACAAAACATAGCAATAAAAATAGTTGTTTTCTTTGTTTCTATTCTTCATCAAGAGCAATTTGTCATGATTCCTTTAATTGTAGTTGAAGTTGTGTTTGGAGCACATAAAAAGGTTTATATGGTTTTGTTGCCCAGGCTCTGCATTTCTTTTGGAGGTGCTTGATGATTATAGAGCATAAATTGTGACTCTAAACTTTTTCGGCCCCTAACTGTGGGACGCTCGGGCTCGAGCATTAATTTAGTAATGCGGTATTTTTTTCTAATTAATAAACATGTTAAATTCCTAACTCTTCCGCCACATTTTTTAGCGTCAACACAGCTTATTTTGTTTTCCTGCCATTCTTTCACCTTTCAGCAGCAACTCTTCCAATTTCACAAATGCTTGTTGTTTGGCAACATATGCCAAAATCGGAAAGGTTTCTCAAGGTCTGTTTGCATGCATTTTCATTTCTAATTTGGAAAATACATGACAAAAAGTAAAAATGCAAGGAACGTTGTGTAAACCAATATGAAAAAGTACTATTTAAACCTCCCACTGTCTTTATGGGTGACCCCAAGAGAATCTTAAACAGAGGAATAGACTTTTTGTGTGCTATGCTTGTCAGCCACTAGATGGTGCCATCGGATAAGATAAATACTCCGGAAAGAAGCTTTAATGCTAAGGTAAACCAGAAGAATCAGGAGAATGACTGGACTGGTTAGGGTTAACTCTGGGAAATATCAGGGTTTCCTCCAGCGCTTTATAAGCCTGGCAGCCCCCCAGGCTTTGCTTGGCCACCTGTCAGGCTAAGCATCATGCCCCGCCCCCTCCCCGACCCTACCGCTGACACGAACGGCGCAACAAAAGTGGAGCCCTCCATCAGCTGATACTGGTGAGAAACAGCAGCACAATGTGTGCACCCCCCACCCATGTGGTGTTGGTGGATAAGAGTAAGACATGATGTCACAGAGGTTCTCAGTTAGATTCACGTCTGGAGAACGGGCAGGCCAGTCCATAGCATCCATGCCTTTGTCTTACAGGAACTGCTGACACACTCCAGCCACATGAGGTCTAACACAGTCTTGTGTTAGGAGAAACCCAGGGCCAACTGCACCAGCATATGGTCTCACAAAGGGTCTGAGGATTATCTCACTACCTAAAGGCAGTCAGGCTGTCTCTGGTGAGCACATAGAATGCTGTGCTGCCCCCTCAAAGAAATGCCACCCCCACCATAACTGACCCACTGCCAAACCTGTCATGCTGGCAGCAGAACTTTTTCAATGGCTTCTCCAGACTGTCATGTCTGTCGCATGTGCTCAGTGAGAACCTGCACAATGTTGGCTTGTAAGCATGACCCCCACCTGTGGACATCGGGCCCTTGCACCACCCTCAGAGTCTGTTTCTGGCTGTATGAGCAGACACATGCACACATTTGTGGTCCGCTGGAGGTCATTCTGCAGGGCTCTGGCAGCACTCAGTCTGTTCTTTCTTGCACAAAGGTGAAGGTAGTGGTCCTGCTGCTGGGTTGTTGCCCTCCTACGGCCTCCTCCACATCTCATGATGTACTGGCCTGTCTACTGCTATCGCGACCATGCTCTGGATACTATGCTGACAGACAGCAACCCTTGCCACAGCTCGTATTGATGTGCTATCCTAGATGAGCTGCACTACCTGAGCCACTTGTTTTGGTTGTAGACTCCATCTCATGCTACCACTAGAGTGAAAGCACTTGCCAACATTCAAAAAACATCAACCAGAAAGCAGAGGAACTGAGTCTGTGGTCACCTCCTGCAGAACTGCTCCTTTATTGGGGTGTTTATTCTATTTGCACAACAGCATGTGAAATTGATTGTCCATCACTGTTGCTTCCTAAGTGTACATTTTGATTTAACAGCATTGTGATTGACTTCGGGTTACATCATGTTTTTTAAGTGTTCTCTTTATTTTTTTGAGCAGTGTACATTGAAGGTATGATGGGAGTAGACATACAAAACCATCTTAGCTTTCAGGTCTTTATTAAATCAGTCCACTAAAGGCTTTACAAGATGCACTGAACTGGCCAGTCTACCATGGTTTATCTTTGTTTA